TGTTATTCAGTTTGTTTAATTTCACATGTAGTTATGGTATGTCAGCATAACCAGTTATTCGACATTAACAGTTCATACAAACATCAAGTAACACTGCGTATAGACGGAGCATATCCGGCGAGGATAGTTGCAGACACTAGGATGCTTTTAACCCGAAAATACACTCAACTCAACCAGCAAGTAACACGACTTTAAACCAAGTATAGTCTGTCTCACAGTCCCTGAAACGCATTATTTCTTCCTTCTGATAGCCCTTTTTGTAATACTAATGTCCTAAATGAAACAAGTCAAGATTCCCTCAGGTTCCCTTCTCACTGGGACTCCTTTTCAATTTAAAAGGATTTATTTGTTTCTATCAAAATATATCTTCAGAGACTAAGCGTTAGTCTACAAAAGTATAGACGCAGCACATCCGGCGAGGATAGTTGCAGAGACTGGGGTGCTGTTAACCCGAACATACACTCACCTCAAGAAAAATGAGGACTATTTTTATGGATATACAACTTCTATATTCTGTATAGGCGACGTTTCGACATACATTCTAATGTCGTTGTCAGGCAATGTCGTTGTCACAACAACATTAGATTCTGTGTCAAAACGTCGCCCATACAGAATAAAGAAGTTGTATATCCATAAAAATAGTCCCCATTCTTAATCTACCCAACTTCTAGAATGCCAGTCAAAGAAAGCATACACTCAGCTCAATCACCATGTAACTCGACTTTAACCCAAGCAGAGACCCAGCACATACAGCGAACATAGTTGAAGGGTACTAAACTATACTTTAACCCGAACATACACTCAGCTCAACCAGCAATGACAGAAGCGAGCAACCCGAGGTACAACGACGCGAGCACACACGCAGCACAATGAATGATTTTCAGCAATATCCGAACTGGCTTCCCAATCGACAAGTTCGCTTCCCTAGGGGAACAAACGTATTTTGGAATGTGTTGGTTGGTACCAAATGGAGATCATATAAGAACAATAACTTCGAAAATAAGATCTGGCTTACATGTCATTACCAAACTTGTCATTATTATTATTTCTCATGTCCATTAAAACTACAAGAGTCCAATTTAGATGAACAAATTGAAATATTTCCATTGATCGCACTGAGATAAGTAGCTAACGTGCAACACAATATTGATGACATATCTTCATGTCAACATGTGGGTAGAAAGCCCAACTAGACAACCTGGAAACAACAATCTATATCTTCCTCTTCGTGTCAATATAATTACTGGAAACACTAAACCTCTTAGTCAACTCAGATCCCCTCGACAATCCATTCGGAATTCTCTGGAGAAGGTGGCACTTGAAATTACATCTTAACAGGGAGGTAGCGGCTGTTGTCGGCAGAAAGTGACGGCAACATCTTGTATGGAATAGCCAACAATAGGTGCAAAAACAGACGAATTTCATTCAAGGGCCTTAGAGGTGGTCGACAAGGAAATGTTCTTTGTCCCTTCTTTTTCTCTATTGAGTTGGCCCAGCTGGAACAACGCATAATCAGGCATACACGGGGTCTTGTTAACAAGTCATTAGGTCCACGCTGATCCTATACAGGGTCACAGTCGTCGGGTGGGAAAACCTTAAAATGAAACTGGGCACAGCTTGCATACGTCCACGTGTAAATATTGATCCGTTTCCAAGTATTCGACCATGCTTGTGTACCTTAAATTACAAGGACTGGTATCAATATTGACGGCGCTGACAAGTGATACATATAGATACAAACCCTACACCTTTAATCTTCCAATATGTATTCGGTAAATATATTTCATCAGACAGCGGAAGTTAAAGATTCACGTTCATAATGTAATTTTATAGATGTTCTTTCTTTGCTAATGTTAATATACACATTAAGTCACATTCAGATTCATATTACATGTGAACCTTTTACGTTGTTGGCGAAATAGTGTTTGGATTAATGGGACGTGATACAGACAGTTGTTTTCAACAACACAAAGACCGGTTTCATCCCTAGGCACTTAAATCACGTTGAGCATGTAGACATGAATCAGCGTCAGATCTCAGCACCAGGTGGTCATGACACCCTGCTCGCTACTTCCATGATCAGGTGTTAGAGAAACGAAGGGATTGACCTTTCCGGTTGATAAAATTTCGAACAGTATAGAGCTTGTAAAACCAGGCTAGTTCTAAAAATCGTCGACCCTATTAAAAGAAGTGCCTCATTCGTATTCGGTCCACAGTTGCACTTTTGGGCGTGACCCGTTTTAGGGACAAGCAAAGACATTTGTGACTTTGCAAGTCGGGGACACAGATTGTGTTTTAACTGTGTAAGTTAGTATTTATAACTTGATCAGTAGGAATCATGCTCGTGGAATTACCCTGAATAGCAAATTAACATATACATGCACATGTGTGTCTATGAGTGAGTGAGTTTGGTCTAACGCCACTTTTAACAATATACTAACACTAACCTAAGTTATCGAACCCGGACCTTCGTTGGACCATGCAAACAAGTAACCATTAAACTACTCCACTCTCCACATATATATCTTAAACCTTTACCATGTATATCATGATATGCTGGGGGCGGTGGGGTAGCCAAGTGGTTAAGCTTTCGCTCGTCTCGCCGACAACCTGGGTTCGAATCCCCACGTGGGTACAATGTGTAAAGCCCATTTCTGGTGTCCTCCGCCGTGATATTGCTGGAATATTGTTAAAAGCTGCGTAAAACTAAGTGCATTCACTCACACATGGTGTGCTGGGTATGTTCACTACTCGCTGTGAGATAAATGTGTTATTTCCCCCACAACTATTAATTATACTTGCTGTTACAAGACTGTGTGGAAACGGATGAAATCCCAGGGACGACATCAGCGATGTAACATATTTTCGGGATGCCACCCTTCTCTGAAACTTGAGGCCTTGCATGGCACGTGAGGGCTAGAACAGGAAACACTGTCAAAAACTCATACATGTCTGGAGATGCGATACCAGCGATGGGATGCTGAATTAAAAGGTATCTCACACCGGCGATATGTCATTGTCATGTAGAGCATGAGGTGGTCGACAGGTCGAGTGGGAGAGAAAGTGTTATACAATGCTTTCAGCACATTTCTGGGAATATCACGAGGGGAGGCACTGGACGTGGGAGTATCTTGATGAATTCGAACCTGGTGTATAATTTGTTTGTTCTGTTGTCAGGTGGGATAGCCTAGTGGTTAAAGCGTTCGGTCGTTCACGCAGAAGATCTGGGTTCGATTCCAGGGTGAAATATGTGAAGCCCATGTCCAGTGTTCCCCGTCGTGGTATTGCTAGAATATTTCTAACAGCGGCATAAAACTAAATTCACTCACCCACGTGTTTTGTTGTAAGAAGTGACTAACGGGGTCGTGTGTTGATGCATGTCAATGATGCGCAGATCGATACATATAATATCAATCACTGGAATGTCAGCTTCAGAGTCTATTGTTGAAAGACCGCCGCCATGTAGCTGCAAAAGTGTGTCGCTAAAGAACAGTAGCAAAGAAGAATAACTTAATAATAATAATGTGTCCATTTACATAGCGCCAAACTCCACACTAGGTATGCTCATAGCGCTAACAATCAAGGCACAGCACATTATTACCCCGGATAACCCAAGCTGCCTGTTAAGCGCTAGAAGGTTATAGTCATATGACTTTTTCCACCGGGTACCCATTTTCCTGCTGGGTGAACAGAGACAATTATGAGCAAACTCACTTGCCTAAGGTGAGACCACATGTGTCACATGTGCTTCGTTGTGGGGCAGGACTCAAGTCCTAGAAACTCTCAGGAGTCAAGCTGCCAAACACGGTCACCCATCAAAGAACTCTCCGAGCTCGACGCTGCTTAACTTCACCGATTTGTGACCTGAGCATTGAACACAGGACCACGCGACCCCACACTTAAGTTGAGTGATGTTGGGAGTCAGGACGCCCTCACAGCGTTGAAACACCGGGATTGTCCTGTCAAACCAAGGTTCATAATCGGAGTGTTTCTGAGATTCGAACCACGAACCGACTAGCTCTTGTCGCTTAACAAAGTGTAGTTATGAGAGCTGGAAATCGGCTGCAACATTTGACCATTCAAAATAATGAAACATAGGCGTTCCTAGTTTACTTTGCCAACATGACCTGTATGTGTATGTGTGTGTGTGTGTATGTTTGCATGTGTGTATGTGTGTGTGTGTGTATGTTTGCATGGGTGGATGGATGGATGAGTGCGTGCGTGCGTGCGTGCGTGTGTCTGTCTGTCTGCCTGTCTCTCTCTTTCTCTCTCTCTCTCAGTATATATATACTGATGGAAATAAATAAGGGAACACACGAAAGTACAAGTGCTCCTTTATTCTTGCCCAGATGTCATCACAGGCTTTGTGTTGCAGTGTGGGCGAAACTCTTGTAAAATATAAAGGAACAATGCGATGAAGTGGTGTTCCCTTATTTGTTTCCTTCAGTATATATACTGACTCGTGAAGACCAGTGTTCTTGTTCATCAACACTAAGAGGCTACACGCAGGAGTGGGAGAGAAAGGTTTATACATCCCTTGAAGCAAATGTCTGGGAATATCACGAATGGAGGTACTTAGAGTGGGAGTTTCTTGATGAAATCGAACCTGTGCATGATTTGTTTGTTTTGTTGTCGTAAGAGGTGACCAACGTTATCGGGTGAGTGTATCCTGCCCCTCACCCTGCGCTCGTCATAAACACATGCAAGGGCTAGTCAAATAAACACGTGAAATATCCAAGGAATGTCTCGGATGACAATTATTACAACGATGATCATCATGATGTCAATCACCAGATTGTCTGGTCCAGACTGGATTATCTGCAGACCGGAACATTGCTGAGTTCGGCGGGAAACAACAAAGAAACAAGCCCTACTTTGTTTAGTGTTCAATTCGAGCACCTGATCTTTATCGTAAATTCGACATAGTTCAAACGCCTTAACTGATAGATGCCAATCAACTGCCCACAGGCACTGAGTCTAGAACAGGAACGCTGTAACTAACGTTCGTTAACACGACTTAATATTTACAGTTGGTCGCCGTTATCCGATACACGGAACATCGTACCATGTCAATACGCATATACCGACTTACCAGGCCTCACAATAGGATTACCTACAGTACACCGTAATCTCCTAACATCAGGAAACACGCAGTCTGGAGTTCGTGTAGATGTCGTCTGCTTTTGTCTGAACACTTTCTGCCCGGCATTCGTGCTTGCTGTGACCAGACAGGTTTTACTGACTAAACGGTTTAACGAGTGTCCTGGCCTGGTCTCGTGTGAAAAAGACGAGCACCTTTAAGTAATACCGGAATCCTACGATCTTCACATTACTGAAAGCATTCCTGTCAACGATAATCGGATTGGGCTAATTAGCTGGATTCACCGTCTTTCATTTTCTGGGTTGATGTTTTTTCTTTGTTTCATGACCACCTGCCGTGTGTCGGATTCAAAAGCCATTATTCTTAGGTAAGTATTTCAACCCGTATACCTGTCATTCCTGTTCGAATTACTGTCGTGTCTGCCTTTAAATAGACACAGCAAATGCCCCTTTGGCGTGGGGAGATGTTTGTTGCCTCAACGACAACAATGTTGCTCAAATCATTCTGTCCGTGGATACGCTTTGTGGTTAAAGTGCGCCGGATTAGCCTTGTGGTTGAAGCGACGTAGTTGTCCTGAAGATTAGTGTTCGATTCTGAACATGGGTACAGTCTGCTTACCATTTCTTGAAACACACAGTAACTCGTGCGTGTACACACAGAGAGACACAGAGAGAGAGAGGGGGGGGAGGCACACACAGGAGAGCGTGGGGATAGAGAGAGGGGAGGGAGAGAGACAGAGAAAGAGAGAGATGGAGAGAGACAGGCACACACATGATAGAGAGTGGGGATAGAGAGAGGGGACGGAGAGAGACACCGAGAAAGAGAGAGGGAGACAGAGAGAGTGGGAGAGAAAGAGAGACAGGCACACACAGGATAGAGAGTGGGGATAGAGAGAGAGGGGAGGGAGAGAGACACAGAGAAAGAGAGACAGAGAGAGAGTGAGAGAGAGACAGGCACACACAGGATAGAGAGAGGAGAGGGAGAGAGAGAGCGATACCCGACATGTCTTTCTTTGTGTGACCTGTACTTCTGGATAGTCAGCATCCCTGACCCCAACCACAAAAAAATCCAATTCCAAAAGAACCCTTTGCAATGTCACAGCCGTAAATCACCGCATCTCGATACGGCTATTGATGGACGTAAATCCTCCATTTAATAAACCCATTTATACACTTAAAATTATTTCGTTTCTATAGCAAGTTGCCCCCCGACTGAATTCCGGTATACCCTTAAAAAAATATTCTTTTGTGGTCCTTTCAAGAACGACAGCTCATTACTCGACCTATGTTACGGTTACCATAGCAACGATTTGTAAATGTTTATAGTTTCTATTTATAATCACAAGAAATCCTGCTCCAACCATCTAAATTGGATTACTGACCACCCAGTTGTTTAATTACATAGGATTTCGTGAAGTATATGTACAATCAGCAAGTATATATAGACATGTAGTTACACATAAGCCCTAACCCGGGTAAATAAACATGGGCAGTCATTGTGAAATGTACACGTGTCGATTTCAAGTACCGGGTTATATTGTGTTTTATCACATGGAACGAATAGCTCAATCTACATGATCTATTTCAGGGAGTTAATTGGATAAGGATCTGGATCTGAGTAGTTAAACAGGTATGAGCTATTTAGGACGTTCAGACAGATATAAGGCTTTTTGACATGGTGTTGTTTTGGTGATATTCCTTGTTTCTATTCTTTGCTTAAAGGTCCATGAACATTGTCAGTGTCATATTCCATTACACGTGCCTGTGGTGAGTTCTGAAGACAACAAATATACTTACCTCGCGTGGAGTGCTACAGGCCAAACACTCCGTAATGACGTCACTGACAATAAGGATGAGTTACCATAAGGAATGTAATAGGAAGTTGCTATGGTAATAAAAAACAACAACGGATATGTTTATACGTGTATGACACTCGAGTTGTTTACCTTTTAAAAAAAACATCAGAAGGCGAATACATAATAGATATGTGAATAGTGTATATATTTATCAAAGAGTTGTACAAACTATTTATGTTGTAAAGACAAATGTAAAGCGAAATGACGTGATAAACATTAATCAAATTTAAAGAAGTAAGATCCATGCACCTAGAGGACGTTCGTGCACCCCAACTACTGCACTTGTGCATCTGAAACACGTACAAGTGCCATGTCCCGCCGATGTCCAACAACAAAGCATAGTCCGACATGTAATGGTTGAAGAGGTCTGTCACCCAAGACGGGTAGCTAACACAAACGGAATACCTATCCGCCATCGTCTTTAGCAAATGAGCAACAGGATGCCATTTTGCCCACCTGCTGATAAACATTTGCTCTCTTTCCGTAAAGCTAACGGGACAAGAGGCAGATTTATGGCTTGTCAGTCTTTGTTCTTGACTTGAAATGTAACTTTTTTTCAAGGTCTTGGCCTGGTTCTTTTGTGAAGAGGTTAAACCTGTAACTTCTGCGCAGTCGACTGTGGTTCTCAAATTTGTCAGTCATTGTCAGGGTGCAGCCATTGCCAGAGGCTGTTGGTGGTAGTGCGTCTCGTTTGGATGAGATCTAGGTGTGCTGATTTAAATCTTATATCACTGCAGCTGTTGAGTTGTACCTGATCCTCCCTTACATCAGTTAATTATATCCGATGGTTGTACACCTGTTGAGTTATATCTGATGACAGTACACCTGTTGAATTATATCTGATGAAAGTACACCTGTTGAGTTATATCTGATGACAGTGCACCCGTTGATTATATCTGATGGCAGTACACCTGTTGAGTTATATCTGATGGCAGTACACCTGTTGAGTTATATCTGATGACAGTACACATGTTGAGTTATATCTGATGGCAGTGCACCCGTTGATTATAGCTGATGACAGTACACCTGTTGAGTTATATCTGATGGCAGTACACCTGTTGAGTTATATATGATGGCAGTACACCTGTTGAGTTATATCTGATGACAGTACACATGTTGAGTTATATCTGATGGCAGTGCACCCGTTGAGTTATATCTGATGACAGTACACCTGTTGAGTTATATCTGATGGCAGTACACATGTTGAGTTATATCTGATGGCAGTACACATGTTGAGTTATATCTGATGGCAGTACACATGTTGAGTTATATCTGATGGCAGTACACATGTTGAGTTATATCTGATGGCAGTACACATGTTGAGTTATATCTGATGGCAGTACACATGTTGAGTTATATCTGATGGCAGTACACATGTTGAGTTATATCTGATGGCAGTACACATGTTGAGTTATATCTGATGGCAGTACACATGTTGTTATATCTGATGGCAGTACACCTGTTGAGTTATATCTGATGGCAGTAGACCTGTTGTGTTATATCTGATGGCAGTACACATGTTGTTATATCTGGTGGCAGTACACCTGTTGAGTCATATCTGATGGCACTACACCTGTTGAGTTATATCTGATGGCAGTACACATGTTGAGTTATATCTGATGGCAGTACACATGTTGAGTTATATCTGATGGCAGTACACATGTTGAGTTATATCTGATGGCAGTACACATGTTGAGTTATATCTGATGGCAGTACATATCTGTTGAGTTATATCTGATGGCAGTACACATGTTGAGTTATATCTGATGGCAGTACACATGTTGAGTTATATCTGATGGCAGTACACCTGTTGAGTTATATCTGATGGCAGTACACCTGTTGAGTTATATCTGATGGCAGTACACCTGTTGAGTTATATCTGATGGCAGTACACATGTTGAGTTATATCTGATGGCAGTACACCTGTTGAGTTATATCTGATGGCAGTACACCTGTTGAGTTATATCTGATGGCAGTACACCTGTTGAGTTATATCTGATGGCAGTACACCTGTTGAGTTATATCTGATGGCAGTACACATGTTGTGTTATATCTGATGGCAGTACACATGTTGAGTTATATCTGATGGCAGTACACATGTTGTTATATCTGATGGCAGTACACCTGTTGAGTTATATCTGATGGCAGTAGACCTGTTGTGTTATATCTGATGGCAGTACACATGTTGTTATATCTGGTGGCAGTACACCTGTTGAGTCATATCTGATGGCAGTACACCTGTTGAGTTATATCTGATGGCAGTACACATGTTGAGTTATATCTGATGGCAGTACACATGTTGAGTTATATCTGATGGCAGTACACATGTTGAGTTATATCTGATGGCAGTACACCTGTTGAGTTATATCTGATGGCAGTACACATGTTGAGTTATATCTGATGGCAGTACACATGTTGAGTTATATCTGATGGCAGTACACATATCTGATGGCTGTTGAGTTATATCTGATGGCAGTACACCTGTTGAGTTATATCTGATGGCAGTACACATGTTGAGTTATATCTGATGTTGAGTTGTACCTGATCCTCCCTTACATCAGTTACCGATGGTTGTACACCTGTTGAGTTATATCTGATGGCAGTACACCTGTTGAGTTATATCTGATGGCAGTACACCTGTTGAGTTATATCTGATGGCAGTACACCTGTTGAGTTATATCTGATGGCAGTACACCTGTTGAGTTATATCTGATGGCAGTACACATGTTGAGTTATATCTGATGGCAGTACACCTGTTGAGTTATATCTGATGGCAGTACACCTGTTGAGTGTCATTGACATCATGAACATTGATAAGGACAAATGATATGCAACCATGTCACCTCGTTTGACCACAATATTCTCACAACCGCCTGTTACGACAAGCATAGGTTCCAGGGCTGGTATATTCTTAGCCAGGTACCCGTGAAGATCCAGGTTAGAATTGATCTTCAGTAACCCATGCTTGTCGTAAGATGCGACTAACGGGATCGGATGGCCAGTCTCGCTGACTTGGTTGACACATGTCATCGTATACCAATTGCCGAGATCAATGCTTATGCTGTTGATCACTGGATTGTCTGGTCCAGGCTCGATTATTTACAGACCGCCGCCATATAGCTGGAATATTGCTGAGTGCGACGTAAAACTAAACTCACTCACTCTTAGCCAGTTACGGCGAGTCGTATGTCTCCTATGGTCATATCACACACCGTATCATATTACGTCATCATGGTCTGGGTGACCAACTTGCAGCGGAGAATGAGGTCAGTTTCAGGTCACCTCATTCTCTCGTCTCTTCAGCTGTAGAGTTGTTGGAAAACCAAGGTGCCTGGCTTGATTGTGTGTATGCATATCGCTAGACTTTCCCTTACAATGAACCATTCATTACAATCAGTCACAAATGTATACTCGTATTTACATATGGTCTCATTTCACATAAAGACTCCACTTCACGGGTACATGTATCGTCACATTTACATATCATGTCCTTAGCTATTGTTCTCATCCCACTTCATGTGTATATTCCAGGAAGATCACAGAGATGGGATGAAGAATTTGCTCATTTTACCAAATACCCGGACATCACACCGTGAAGAACCTCCTCTACATTCTCAAGCGCCATTGCCGGAAACAGTCCACCACAACACCTCCTCTCACAACTCCAAGCCTCTCTATCTCTTTTGAGTTAGTTAGTCTTTTGGGGGTTTAACGCCGTTTCTTTGAATAACGAACACAGCCAATAATCATAAACAGGGCAATTCAGGGATTCGAACCTCTGATCATTGGATTCTGGAACATCAAAGGGACGTAACTCTACACAGATAATCGCAGCGACTAAAACGTCAGGGCCAGCGGCTTCCAGTCTTAAGGACACTTAGGGTTTACTTACATGAGTATCCTTTCACCATGGGATACACAGAGGCGGTAAAATCACGACCTGAAGTTTCATTTGCAGTTAATGTCAGGTCAACGTATCAAGTCCAGGTCATGTTTATGTTGACACGTGACCTGAACAGGACGAAAGCCCTCGACACTTAAGTCGTGATTGATCTCAATTTACAACATTCTGGTGACATGTCCAAAATTGACTCAGTGTCCGAAATTGACCCAGTGTCCATGGTGTCTTGTTTAACATTTGGATGACCACCGTCCGGTCAAAGATGGACGTGACCACGCAACTGACCATCAAGATAGCAGCAAATTTGACAACTCGTCTCTCACCAACTCGTGATGCTGGAGCTCCCCATTGTCACGTCCGACCTTCACCTTACGATCACACTGTCTTCAAGCACGTGACAGGACTAGTTTAACATCATTACAAAATAAGATTCATTTAATATTTTCATATGCTGTGACAAACGAACGTATAGGGTTTGTCTAATAAGGGTCTATCGTAGTCAGTCCACACAGCCAGTTATCGTCGATATGGCATCTGAACATGTTCCCGAAAAATTCGAAATTAGACAGTTGTAGCAGTAAAATAATTTGGCGGGAGTACGTTACTCTCATTTCATTCTGTGGTTGCTGATGTTGTTGCAGTAAGGGGTGGTGTACACGACGTTGGGGTAGGGGTGGGTTGGTAGAGACGTAATAAATTATAAAACTATTAAGACGATTGTTATGTTCTTCAGTAAAGCTTATTATAAAGAGACCGAGCTCCGTCTTACGAATTTGCCCTTTGTGCGCACAACTGTCATCGGAAACGTACGGAAATTTACGAGGCTCTCCGACGGAGTTGGTTGCCACCCCCCTGTGATTCAAAGCCGACATATTTATCAAGCGGATTTATTCATACTGGAATGACACTTGAATGATAGAGTGGAAAAATGACATTCATTCTTTGTCTCTCTACCTCATTACGGCGGGCTATAAATAATGTTTGTATCTTTGACAAAGATTTGATGGTCATGTCGTCATTATCATGGATGTTCAAATAGCAATAAAAAGATACATGCTATATTTTATGTCTTGAGGAATTGTAATCCCGAAAACGCTCTTTTGTTTCTCAAAGTTTCGAGAGTTCGCAGTTAACAGGGTGGATTTTGTTTGTTGCTAAACGTCAGACTCATCAAAACCCGGATGCGAGACCACATATTCGAGTCCGGACCAGATATACCAGTGATTTACAATGTGAACAACACTCTACACCCTGGAAGCACAAGGTCCTTTGCCAGTAGCAGTCTGTATTTAAACAGGGTGCGGGTTGTAGTTAATAGGGTGAAGTTTTAAGTTAACAGGATGCACTTTGAAATTAAGAGGACGCCACACTCAGCAATATTCCAGCTATGTGGCGGGGGTCTGTAAATTATCGAGTCTGGACCAGACAATCCAGTGATCAACAGCATGGACATGGATCAACGCAGTTGGGAACCGATGACATGTGTCAACCAAGTCAGCGAGCCTGACCACCCGATCCCGTTAGTCGCCTCTTACGACAAGTATGGGTTACTGAAGATCAATTCTTCACGGGTAAGATGCACTTTGTAGTTAAGAGGATGCACTTTGTAGTTAACACTGTGTAGTTTTCAACCCCGCTCATCAGAAAGTTGCGTTGCAACTAAAATAATATGCATCACCAAGTTTGTGAATCATGTCAAACAAGACACGTCACTTTGTATGCAGGAAAACTTCTCAAAGAGTAATTCTAATTTTCCGGAGGTGTACGGATTAATAGGTTTAACGATAACGTGGCTTTTTCGCACTCATCCATGTAACCTCCACACAACATGTATGCAGACATATCAACAACAGCCACACGTCAAGTTCAACGCTCGACTAAAGTTGTTTTACTGGTTTAATAATGTTTTGCTCACGTAACACGACCCACCTCGGGAAAGATCCGGGTTCTTGAAGTGCAATTTCTTTAACCGGGCAGCGATTGTTACCGATGTGTTACTGTGGCAACCGAGTGGAAAATAACGAGAACATTAAATATCCGCGAATGTTGTAAAAATTAAGAGAGACACGCCGTTGTACATTCTTAAGACATGCTTATATCACATGTATCTTGTATGTCCGGTGGGCGTTTGGAGTTTGAAAGACATGTTTCGCTTTGTTGATTGTGTTTCTTAGTGTCTGATGGGATGACTCGTGGGGTGGTCTCAACTACACTGTGGCATTGTAATTAATACCGTATCATGAAAATACGATGGCAGTAAGGTTGCCTTGGGAGTAGTCTGGCATATTATCCTGTATCACAATGCCGTCTTTTGGGTGTTATTTCAAGGCATACACTTTGTGATTACTCTGCAGGCAGTAATTGGACAATTCCCGTTTCGACACACGACATATCTTCCAAGACATACATATGGAATGCTAGAAGGGACATTGTCGCCTTCACAAAAGCGAGCAAAAAGTGTCAAAATTAAGCAAAGTGCGACAATGCGACATAGCGACGATTTGGCCCTTCGAGGATTCCATACATACACCCTTCCCGCAAATCAATGGTCGCTCTATGGCAAGCTTATGTATTTAATGGTTACTTACTGATGATGATGCATCCTTATAATGCGACAAATCCACATCCTCAAGCAAGCTTATAGTTCTGCAGTATTACCAGAGTCAGTAGATTAGTGTGCAGTAAATGTTATCTCTCAACTCCCTGGGACATATATAGTATGACCAGAAATTATTGAGAATTTTAGGAATATGTTTAATTGGATTTCTAGTATAAACAACCCAGACCAGCTATCAAGTGCTTGGTTTCATTCAAGAGAGACAATTCCGTTAATACTTTTTCATTAGTTTGTGAAGAGTTATCCCCCTTTGTTTACTTGCTAGCAGACGACATTTTCAGTGATCCTCAGTAGGGATGATTTAGAGAAGAGGAAGTTGATTTTAGAGTATTATAACAAGGACATAAGATCAGCTAAAGTCATTTCAAGTAGAACAGGCATCCCTTTGTCCACTGATTATCGTGTTTTGAAAAATATTGCAAATGGATATGGCATTGAGCACCAGGGAGGCGCAGGTAGGCCCAGAAAATTGACTGTCGGTGACAGGAGGCGGCTTGGTATTCTTGTTTCTAAAAACAAACTGACTGACTGACTGAGTTTGGTTTTACGCCGCTTTTAGCAATATTCCAGCAACATCACGGCTGGGTACACCAGAAATGGGTAAAAACAAACGAAGGAGTTTAGAAAACTTAAGGCTGGATATGATTCATAGAGAAACTGTCTGTAAGGAGACAACTAGAACTGAGCTGCATGCAATGGGTTGGCAGAAAAGTCGAGGAATTCCATCACCGATCATGAAACCTGAACAAAGGAGCGAAGGTTGAACTGGTGCTTACAGCATAGACATTTTAACTGGGACAATGTGATTTTCTCAGATGAAAGTTGTGTGTGGCTGTTTCCTAATACAATGAAATTTTGGACCAAACAAACTGAAAAACCTTTGTATCAGCGCCCAAAGTGCAGTCCGAAATTTAACATGTGGGGTGGCATATCTGTGTTAGGAGCAACGCCCCTCTGTGTATTTGAAGGGAATATGAACAGTGAGCGGTACACAGATATTCTCGAGGGACATTTACTTCCATCTACTCACATGTTCTATGGAATTTTTTGGATTTTCCAGCAGGAAAACGACCCAAAACATCGTTCAAAGCATTCACAGGCCTGGTTTCGGACCCAAAATATGACATTATTAGATTGGCCAAGCTATAGCCCTGACCTAAATCCAATAGAAAATGTTTGGGGACTTATGAAGGAAAGTGTCAATAAGAAAAATCTGACAAATATTGCTGAAATGAAAGAAGAGGTGGTCCGATATTGGGACAGCATGGACCTCGACTTTCTAACTTCTTTGATCAGTAGTATGCCCCGCCGCATTGAAGCCTGCATTGCTGCCCATGGTGACTTGACAAAATACAAACTGTTCACCTGTCTTTGAATCTGGAGTTATGTTCTGCTAATATTCACATTTAATACGTGAGTAATGATTGAAAAAAATTACAATCTTTAAATTCTCAATAATTTCTGGTTGTACTGTACAACCCAAGCAGCCTGTGATGCAGTATAAGGTTAAGGGCCAAATTGGAGTATCACACTTCCGGGTATATGTAAAGAATCGGGCAACTGAATTCATAAAACTTTATGACGGGATGAAGACCTACTTTTGTCATCCCAGACACCGTTACGATATAAGCGAAAACCTCTCCACAGCCATATGGGGCGGCGGGGTAGCAGTGTGGTTAAAGCGTCCGCTATTCACACCGAAGACTCGGGTTCGATTCCCCACATGGATACAATGTGTTAAGCCTAAGGTGTCGACACGGTTATATCACTCACTCACCACAGCAACAAGTGATGACACCAGGTGTTTGCGGAAGATGAGTGTATCCTGACTCACCTTTACGCCCATCAAAAACTCATGCAAAGCCAAGTAAACAACCACGGAAACGTACAGTACAAGAGAAAATACGGAATTGCATCCGACATATGCGTTATGTTTTCTTGGGGTTTGATTTGTTGTTTTACGCCGCACCCAGCAATATTCAAGGTATATGGCGGCTGTCTGTACATAATCGAGTCTGGACCAGACAATCCAGTCATCAACAGCAAGTGCATCAATCTACGCATTTGACATACGATGACATTTGTGAACCAAGTCAGCGAGCCTGACCACCCGATCCCTCTAGTCGCTTCTTACGACAAGCATGGGTTGCTGGAGAGCAATTCTACCCGGATCTTCACGGTACTATATGCGTTGTGACTGATGCGTGAAATTTGGAAATTGGAGTCCACCTGTTTACCGTAAAACGTATTGAATGTTTCCCTGATGCCTTGAAAGTTGGCAACTTGGCATGACAATTCTATTCTCTGAGCTGGTGGATAGTTTGTGTAATTGGTTTTCACTGGGTGGCGTTTTAATACGCCTACAGTTTTATATACATTAGTACCAAGTATCGTTTTTGCTTTCTGTTTTGTTTCCATTTTGTTAGGTATTGGTTTTGGTTTTGTTTTGTTGTTGATTGTTTTGATGATCTCGTTTGTTTTTATAAGAAACAGGACATTAAAGATCACAAAATCGATTTCCTGTTACACGATAGCATGTCCGTCAATGTAATTAAACTTTATAAACGTTTTCTTCATTTTGGTACTATGAACATGTAAATTTACATCGTTAATATTGTTCTGTTACGGTAAAACATGAACGTTTACGTCATTAAACCTGGGAATATTTATTCTGTTATGAATAGCAACGTATTCTTGGTTAATCGTACTTCACGTATCTTTGGGTTTTTTCACTTAAATGCTGTTGATCACTGGATTGTCTGATCCAGACTCGATTTAATACAGACCGCCGCCATATACTGGAATACTGGTGTGGCGTTAAACAACAAACAGTAAACCCAACTCACTATCTCACCTGATATCTCCACTTACATGAAGTACACTATATAACAGTCCGCCATGCAGACCCTAGACTTCAACAAGTCTCTAAGGTAAAAATTAATAATTGTAATGATAATTTCTAAAAATAATAAGTACAGACTGGGGTCCGCTTATCTAGACTTACCTCTTCGAATGATAAAATTACTATACATCCAGGGCTCAGCATTCAGTACAGTCTTGGAGCAAGGCTAAGCAGACCCTGAAACAAATACATCCGAAAAAGCCCATGCAAGTCTAGAATATGTGGCAAGTCTAGATGACAACAGTTTCAGGAAAATGTTGAAAGTCTCTTAGCTCCTTTTCATTATATTCAATGATTATTATTTAAGAACCGTCTTTTCTGTAAAATATGTTCATTTCAGGGACTAGATGTTAGCCTAACTATATAACTAAGATAGGCGAACGAGGCGGCGCTTCCTACGGCTCGACCATATGTTACAGAGTGACAGAGTGTGTGTGTCTCGGCCAGATGATACATACATTTGTCTACACACGGTGACTGTGACCCACCACGTGAATGTGAGCCCTGCTGTGGCCAAAGCATGGGAGAAGACACGTGGGAAA